AAGCCCATGGAGCAGCTCCTGGGCTTCACTCCCTCCTCGGGCTGAGCGCGCCTGCGTCGCCCGCCCCAGCCCCTCCTCGGGATCCCCTTTGGAGCTGCCGCCACATTGAAATCCCAGGAATCCTCGCAGGACTCGCATGCCTGCAACCGGCCAGAGAGGAGCAGCTCTAAAGAAGCTGGAGAACAACCCGGTGGCCGGCAGGGAAGCAAAGACTTCAAGTTTGGGGTGGAAGATTTTAAAGCTTGGACTTGCCCCGAGCTTTTGCAGACCTCGGAAAGGCTTGAAGGGCCATCCCTCGGCTGGGACGTGCCCATCTCTGCTGCCCCCGTCAGGGGCACAAGCACAAAGCGCTACCAAAAAAGTGCCCCTTGGTCCTAGCTGTTGTTTCTGCAGACGAATAAATAGGAGGAAAACTCTATTTTCCCCGTCATTAAGTGCTGGGTGGTTCTGTCATAATAAACGTTTTCAAAAGCAGAGTTATTTGATCTTTTCAGAGCTCAGTGCAGGGGGGCAGGAGCGATCGTTCCCGACAGCTCCCTAATCCAGCTTGGATAATATCCTCCCTGCGCCGGATTTATGCCTGGAACCTCATGGACCGCGTTAGCCGTAAGCGGGTCGCGGGCTATCGCCGATTTACCCGGGAAGCGTCGGCTTCCGACATTAAAACCTCTTTGGGAGGGGGTTATTTGGGAAAGAAAGGCGTGTTTCAGTCTGCAACTTGTTTGTCTCAAACCGGCTATTTTTAAGCAGCGCTCGCTCCAGCCGCCTAAGCCAAACCTGCCCAAAATAGACCCCTGCAGCGCCCCAAGCGCCCCCTGCCCCAAAACCGCACGAATATTCCCCAAATCTGCCTTCGCCAGCGAGGCCGGCGAAGTGAAAAGTTCAGGGCGCAGGAAAACATGTTGTGTCGCCCTGCGCCGCTGCCGGCGGGGAGGGGAAAATATATCTAAAAAATAAATAAATAAATATATAAAGTGCCTGAACAAAGAGGCTCGTTCAGGGCTGTTTTTCCTGCGGGCGCCCACGGGACGCGATGTACCGGCTCTCTCCTCCTCCTCCTCCTCCCCGTAGCCCGGCCCCCGGGATGGGGGAAAATAAGAGTATAAAAAAAAATTAAAAGATCGGTTTTAATTAAAAAAAAAAAAAAACAGAATTGCAGGTTTTGCAACGTTGGAGGGAAGGCCCTGGGATGGGGAGGGATTTGGAGGGGGGAATTTGGCTCACGGTGGTGCCAGCACAAGCCCCTTCCTCCTCCTCCTCCTCCTCGCGGCTGCTCTGCGAAAGTGCTGAGCTCAGCGCGCCGGAGCACCCAAAACTGCACGTTCTGTTCCCAAAGCAGCTGCCCTGGCCCCGGCGCCATGAGGGGGAGGGGAGAGGAGGGAAATACCCCCCTTTTCCCCGTGTTTTGGGCATCCGGCTCCTGGGAAAGGGAGCACATTTTCACCCTGCTCCACAGGGCCGGCTTTAACCTGGGTTAAAACCATTAACCACCCTTCTCCAAAATGATAGTGAATCCTGCAAAGGATAAAGGAAAGGAAAATGTGCAGGTACCACAGGAGCAGCTGGGCACTCCTGTGGCTGACTGCTTGTAGGAAAGGCAACTGGAGCCATGCAGCAAGGAGCTCCCGGCCCCGCTTTGCTCCCACCTGGGGCCCCCTCTCCGCACCAACAACTTTTTTTTTTGGTGGGGGGACGGGGACGAGTGGAAAAACAAAAGGAAATAATCAAAAACAATAAGAAACGATAATAACAATAAAGGAAATAATGATGAAAATAATTAAAACCCGGAGATACAGT